GGTTCTGTAAGAAAGGTACCGGATGATGCAAGAAGGGAAAAGGTTATGTGTAGCTACAGTGTTGGTTTTACTTGTAAGTTGGAGGGTAACTTCTACCCATTTGCTAGTTTCCTCTCATAGTGGCCATTGTTAATTTTTTAGTTTTTTTTTAGTGAAACCCACAAAGGATGCCTTAGTCTTCTGTAAAGGGGCAATCAAAGCTGTGACACACCTTTGACAAAGCTGTGTCAAACGGAGTAAGAAACATGAGAAAAAACGATGACATCAATGAGAATTTTTCTTAAATAGTGAGAATTTTGATGATAATAAAGGGAAATGTGTGAGCTGATTGTTCCAGTGATACGATTAAGCTGGCCGCATCGAGCAGACCGCACAGCCCCATTGGCTGGAACACTGGAAAGGACGACAAGGCCATAGGTCTGATCTAAGTGTGGGCAAGTCACTTTCTAGGAACGTAAGAAGCACCCAGTCCTCAGTCTGTCAGCAGTTGGACCTGGATCAAAGCAGAGGGGAATCCAAGGAAGGGGATGACTGAGCCCAGGCAAGAGGAGGTTTGCATGAGCATCATTAAGTCCTGTAAACTCTTCAATGAACTCCACGAATTTCCTGTTCCTCTGTTTCCCAAGGTTATGATGACAGTTGCTTTAGATAAAGCCAGACATGTCAAAGGAAGACAAAAATTACAAAGCACTTGTACAAGAAGCTTAGGGTTGTGAAATAAAGGAACACAAATTGGGTGTCTTATAAGCCTAGACAGGTATTTTCTCTTAGTTCTGGATGTTAGGGGTCTAAAATTAGGGTGTTACCCAGGCTGATTCCTCTTGAAGGTTCTGAAGAGTCTCTCTCCAAGCTTCTGATTATGACCAGTGATTCTAGGTGTTCCTTATTATTCCATCTCTACTTCCAGTGTCACTAGTTGTCTTTCTCTCTGAGAATCCCTGTCTTCATGTCTCTTATCTCTCCTAAGCATAGCAGTCATATTGAAGTAGGGCTGAGCATACTCCAGTGTGACCTCACATAGCTGGTGACATTCTCAGTCTGTTTCGAGAAGGTCACATTCATAGGTGCTTCTGAC